AAAAAAAAAAAAAAAAAAAAAGCAAACACAAAATAAGATAAACCTTGAGAGAATCCAATTAATTTCAAGACTAATGGGTAACCTCATCTCTAATTAAGATGCAGCAGTATCCTAATTAAAATCCCCTAGCAATGACAGACTGTGAACTTGGCTGTATTGTGGGGGGAAAGGGTAGAGAAAAAGAGGTAAGTTCAATTATATAGCAATAACGGGATCTTACTGAAATGTGTGTAATTAAAGTCTCTACCTCTTAATGACATGCTGGACCTAATTATGGATTTGCTATTTACAGTGTTAATTAATTCATTCTAACTTGGCAATACATGTACAGTACAGATCCGTGTAAGTAAAGCCTACCACTGCCCAACCCAGATGACAGGAATCCGAATTAAACAGGAGTTTAGGGTAGTGGTATGTTGAAGGTTGTGGACAGTAAATGACAGTGGCTGTGGATGTTTGCTGAAAGCCTGGAGGAAAGTGTTGGTAGTGCCTAGGGAAGTATGTACACAGAAAAGAAGAGCTTTCCTTTTAAAAAGTTAAATACAAATCTCTCTAGACATGAGGGGTTCTCTCACCACAATTCCAATTCACAAGGTTTGGGAACCAAACGCGTAATCATAAAAAGATTGCCAAGGAGAAGAAATGAAAGAATACGTATCTTTACACCACCCTTATCCACAGAGGATACGCTCCAAAATTCCCAGTGGATGCCTCAAACCGCGGGCAGTTCTGAATCCTATATGTACTGTTTTTTCCTATACGTACATACCCATAATAAAGTTTAATTTATAAATGAGGCACAGTAAGAGATTAACAATAATAGAACAATCACAACATAGTATAATAAAAGTTACATGAATGTGGTCCTCAAAGTATCTTATTGTACTGTACTCACCCCTCTGGCGATGATGTAAGATGATAAAATGCCTACCTGATGGTGAATGCTATAGGTATTATGACACAGCATTAGGCTACTACTGACTGGCCGGACAGTATGTCAAAAGGATCATCTGCTTCTGGACCCAATCAATGGCTGACTTTGGGTAATTGAAAGTGCAGAAAGTAAAATATCAGGGGGCACCTGGGTGGCTCAGTCAGTTAAGCACCTGACTCTTGATCCCAGCTAAGGTCATGATCTCACGATTCATGAGATCGAACCCCACTGACAGCGCAGAGCCTGCTTAGGATTCACTCTCTCCCTCCTCTCTGCTCCTCCCCTGCTTACACATGCTTTCTCTCTCAAAATAATAAACTAAAAAAAAAAAAAAAAAAAAAAAAAAAAAAAAAAGCAAAATCTCAGATAAAGGGGACTCCAATTAATTTTTTTCTGAGTCATGATTTATAGATGTACCATCTCGGGGGCGCCTGGGTGGCGCAGTCGGTTAAGCGTCCGGCTTCAGCCAGGTCACGATCTCGCGGTCCGTGAGTTCGAGCCCCGCGTCAGGCTCTGGGCTGATGGCTCAGAGCCTGGAGCCTGTTTCCGATTCTGTGTCTCCCTCTCTCTCTGCCCCTCCCCCGTTCATGCTCTGTCTCTCTCTGTCCCAAAAATAAATAAACGTTGAAAAAAAAAAAAAAATTTTTTTTTTTTAGATGTACCATCTCAGAAAAATGAGACGTTCCCCTTAGATCCTAGCACTAAAGGTAAAAACTGGGGGGAAAATTTCTAGAAGGCATAAGATTAGGACATACTATGAGAAGGGTTTAAACAGAATGAGTTCCAGCTTCCAAAAAAAGTTAAAATGAAGGGCTAAAACTTTCCTTTAGCCTCCCAACAGATTAGGGCAGTTCTTAATCTGGCTTCTACACCTGGGCTTCAGAAGGTCTATGAACCTCTTGGAATTACATATACAAATCTTGTTTACAGAATGGAAACTTTTCTGGTACAAATCTATAGCTTCCATCAGATTCATAAAAGGATCCAAGAACCAACAAAGATTGAGTTACTCCTTTTCTTGAGAAACGGAAGACAGCCACTGATGATCCTGAGCTATTTAATGCACGTAAACACACACACAGCTTTCACAATCTTAAAAACAAGACATTCGAAAAAAAGATGAACAATAAACATGTCAATAAACATTTGGCTAAGTTCGCATTTTTACTGGTAACAAATATTTTTCCTGGAAGCAAATGGCATCAAAGCTACCTCTGGGCGAGTGTGAAGCAATATTTATTCCTTCCTACCTAAACATAAAAGGCGAGGGGATTTTCTGATCTATCGTGTTACAAATTTCTACAAGAACACACCTCTATAGAAATACAGCCCAAGCCTTTTGTCAAGAACTCCACAGCATAAACTAACATTATTTTTCAAACCTCAACTGTTTTTATTTTTATTTTTTCAAGTAAACAGTGGTATTAAGTCTTTTTAAATGTTTCTTTCTTGAATGGCTTACAGAAAATGGCATCCTGGGACCTTTAGCTCTATGTCTCCAAAATTTTCTTTCAAGGATCTGATCCATGAAGTTTCTCAAAAAAAAAAAAAAAAAAAAAAAAAAAAGATAATATACCTCACCTAATAAGACAGGTCAAAACAGTCTGAAAAATAGATGTGTCCCAGCAGAAAGCCTCAAGACTTTTCAAATTCCTCAAAAATGGCACTGTGCTAAAGGCCCCGGAGGATGGCTATCCGAAGGTATCACTCGTTGATATTTCTGGATGGTATGAGGTACTGCCTGTCATCACTGGTTGCCACGCATCATTTCTTGTAGATAAATGGTATTCATGTGATAAGCTGCCACCCAACTTGGATGCCTCTGAGCATTCCAATAATATGACTGAGAAGCAGCAGCGTAGTATTCCTGCCATGCCCTGTAGTAAGCTCTCCAGTACTCCTCATAGTCCTGGTAGGTCTCGGAAAAATTCAGATGGGTTTCCCTGTGGCAGTCGTACCAACCGTCCTCCTGGGGTTCTGTCTGCATTCGATAGGAAGACCGCCTGGGAGGGTTTCTCCGGCTCTGCTTAGCTCTCTGGGTAGCCCCCTCTTTATGCCTTGCCTTTGTCTGGATTTCAGGTGATTCCTGATACTCTACTGGACTGGGGATGTTGTTTCCATTCAGAGGCTGCTCCAAAGAGATATGGCCATCCACACGAGTAGACTCCGCATCTTTCGGCTGAGTATCAGAAGAGCCTTCCAAGTAGGACTTATTTCCTTTGCTCTGGGAAGAAGTCCTTGAGCTGTAAGAATCACTGTCACTCTCAGAGTCTCCAGATTGACTGCTACTTGCCAATACCTGCACTCTCTCTTCAGGAATTCTGTTTCTTACAAAACCATTTTGAGGATTGACAGTCTGATCCCCAGGACCCGTGTAATGCCTGATGATTTCCACAGGTTTCTCTAACCCCTCTTTAATATAGTGTTCATAATCCTCTACCAATTCCGAAAAAGTCAAAGAGTATGGCAGATGGATTTTAAAGGACGACAGACAAGGAATTTTAGGGAGTGACACAGGTATAGCTTCTTTGACCTGGTGCTGACCAGTCGAGTTTTCAACAGAGATCTGAACAGAATTCTTCATCGGCTCTTCCAATTGTATGCCACAGCCCACTTCTTTCGGTGACACTGCTTTTTCGATGATTCCACACTCTGAGTGGCTTTTCACAGGAAGCTTTTGTTTGGTATTATTTTTTGATTTGACTAAGAGTGCAGATACAGAAGTATTTCTAGATGAAGCCACATGGTTACCATGAGCTTTCGGAGTTGGAAAGGTTCTCTCTATTTTTTGAATCTGCTTTTTTAAGGGCTGGGTAGGTACACTTGCTAAGCCATATGTATGCATAGCAGCTTGAACCTCCACATCCCAATCCGAACATTCTTCCATCAGACCAGGAGGAATGGGATCTACATAAAAGGAACAAAAGAATATTAAAATTCTTGAGCTGCTCAAGACCAGCAATTTTTGAATGACTTCATAAAGCTTTCCATGGTAAAGTAAGAAATAATATATACTAATAATACACTAAGAAGCTTAAGAATTGCACTTAGTATTTTAAAAGACCCAAGCAATCCTCGCAGTGAAGAAATACACCCCAAAATATGCAAGACCCATCCCATACTCACAAGCGGGATCTCCCCATACCTCCCACTCAGAAAGAACTTCTGCCAGGACATACAAGTCTGCAGAAATTCCCCCATCTCTTCCCCTCCCACTCTCCCCAACTCTTCCCCTTTATCTCACTACTGCTGACAGCAAAACAAGATTATTAGAAAATGGATTGTGCTCCCCAGAGCTTATCAGCTGGGGAATATTACGACTGCAACTCTGCACCCAAGTAAATCTGCCACCCTATACTCCCAACAGGGAGGAATCACTGCCCCCAACAGTGGAGAAAAACCTCTATCTGGGAACAAGTTAAGAGGACTGTAAAAAGACCTGTGGCCTCAACAGCACTTGCAAATTTTTAAAAATTTGCTGGCTCCAGCTCTCTAAATTTCCTATTCCATCCAGGAGGGATAGTTTGCTCCCACCTGCACACTCAGACCTTCCCAAAGTGTGATCAGTTTTCACCTTAGGCAGACAAAATACACAAAGCCCCTGATTTACACAGGTCTGCCTGTCTGTTCGTGCTACTGGGGCTCCACATAGACGTATCCACTATTGAATCCCTCGTTCTGAACTCTTCAGCTGGGGCTCTTGATCTTTTGCTGAACAGATCCTCTGACAAAAACTCGACTCCTACTGAGGTGGTATCCCTTGTTTGCCTCCCACCCTTCTCAAATAGGCCGACTGCCCTCCTTACTCCTGTGCCAGGTGCTTCACCTGAGCAGTCTGCTATCATACAAGCTCCTAGTCCAGTATAAATCCAACACCACGAATATAATTTTCTCATGATTTCAAGGCTCCGAGAACATTATGTGAAGATCGAAATATGTCATTTTCCAGTATCCAAAGGCAAATTTTATTTATCACTACATGCTATGATACTGAATCCTACTGAAGGTCTTAACTCTCTTTTACCAATTTTCAATTTACTATTTTCACATTATAATCATCTGACAGATTATCAATAGACTCATACATAGAGTTAACATACTATAGAGTCTTAAAAGTGACATGGGGCACCTGGGTGGCTCAGTTGGTTAAGCATCCGACTTCAGCTCAGGTCATGATCTCACAGTTTGTGGGTTTGGGCCCTGCATCAGGCTCTGTGCTGACAGCTCAGAGCCTGGAGCCTGCTTCAGATTCTGTATCTCCCTCTCTCTCTACCCACCCCCCACCCATGCTCGCTCGCTTGCTCTCTCTCAAAAATAAAATAAACATTAAAAAAATATTATTAAAAGTGACAGAGAACCTAAAGACTGTTTCAAAAAACAAGTATTTTGTAAATCAGGACACAAGCTTAGAGCAATTAAAGAAATTTGTGAAAAGATCACAAAATGAGCTATGACAGAGCCAGAACTCCTAGAATCCACAGAATTCCCAGACCTATGCTTAATCTAACTTTATAAAAATCACTAATGGAGTTAAATATAAATCACTGAAATATTCACTGCTATATTTATTCAATAACTACTTATCCCATATTCTAGAAGGTCATGTATATGTAAGTGTACAATTATGTATATATACACATATATACTAGTATATACATATATATGCACACATATATGTACATATACACATGTATATACACACATACACACTAACGTGCATATATTAACATATACAATAAATGAGCCACATTTCTACACAACAGTTTTTAAAGTTTTCAAGAGATCATTAATAGTTTCGGACATGCAGTTTCCAAGGTGGCACTAAAAAAAAAAAAATCAGCTTGACAAATGACTCATTAAATCAAAAGAAAACACTTCAGGGGCACCTGGCTGGCTCAGTCATAAGAGCACAGGACTCTTGACCTCAGGGTTGTGGGTTCAAGCCCCACACTGGGTATACAGATGATAAATAAATAAATATTAAAAAGGAAACACTTAAAATTTTTCAAAATAGCATTTAAAGATATTATTCCTTCCTTCCCCGTGGTGACAAAGGAGAATACAGCAAGAATTACCTCCACAGCGACAAAAGAAGGGAAATATATGCCCTCTTACATAAAACAGTGAAATCAAATTGCAAGGCTAAAAGCTAAAATACAGAGCTAATACAGTAGTAAAATAATTCTCATTTCTCATGTGCCAGGAGTTAGCTTGCAATCTTCTCCTTGCTGCTTATTAGCTGTAAGAACTTAGGCAAATTACTTCACTTTTCAATGTCTTGATATCCTCATTCACAAAAAATCGACAATAAGGGCACACACCTCATAGAACCATGGTGATAATTAACCAAGTTAACATATGGAATAGGACCTAACATATCCTAAGTGCTCCGTGTCAGCTGTTAATTTTATGAGGCCTATCATCAATATCACTATTCTTTTGACAGCAAAATGACACAGACAAAACATACCTGGTAAAGGCAGAAGGTTGATGTTACATTTCTGGGCAATTTTCATCATCACATTTTCTTCTTCTCCCCGACAACAGTAGGTCACTGTCAACCCCAAGGTACCTAAAGCAGAGGGACTGTTAATTAGTAAATCATTTCCACATAAATGACATTCTACCTGTCACATCTTCCTCCTAAAGAAAGCAGCCAAACTTTTCACTTCTTTTTTTTTTTTTTTACCAAAACGGCCAGCTCTGCCAATCCGATGCATGTATGTCTCCCAATCCAATGGTACATCCAGATTTACAACCAGGTTCACCTTCTCAGCATCAATCCCACGGGAAGTCTTGAATTGAAGAGGAGAACAAGTGTTTGCATTAACTGCCACACAGGCTCCAACGCACACTAGATTATTCTACTATAGTACGACCAAAACCCAAGTGAAGAACAGGAAGGAATTCAGGAGCAAAGGAAAAGGAAATTAATTTCTAATAACTAGCTTCAAGAATAAAGATGAAAATATAAGACTTTTAAGAAAGCATGTTCCCCAGCACTGGAAAGACAATTCCCTTCTGGTATTCTTATCAGACACACCCATGTAAAGTAATAGTTGAAACCTGTGCATCTAACAAGAGAGCCCAAGTCAAGATGGATTAGTCACCCAACCCGAACGAGAAATATACCAAATCTGTGGAAATGAGGACTCTGCAATGAAACTGCTTCAGCTTGGCCATAGCATCAAGACGCTGATTCTGATTCATGTTACCTAAAAAGACCCAAAAAGAAAGTCATATAAAAACAAGCTAACATATTTATCAAATACACAAAAAGCAGAATTCCTAACTACCAGTCTTAACGCTTTAAAAATATACCAAAGTTAACTCTATCCTTATATACAAATATAGGTTAAGACCTAAAGTCAGAATCTTTTACAATACGGTTAGGCAGTCAACTTGAAATTCAAAAACATATTTTATTTTATTTCAATTTTTAAAAGTCTATCTACCCATTTTGAGAGAGAGAGAGAGAGAGAGAGAGAGAGCGCGCGCACAGGGGAGGGACAGAAAGAGAGGGAGAGAGAGAATCCCAAGCAAGTTCCATTCTGTCACCGCAAAGTCCAACATGGGTCTCGATCCCATGAACCATGAGATCATGACCTGAGCCAAAATCAAAAGCCAGACACCCAACCGATTAAGCCCCCCAAAAATCAATTTTAAATGGTGACTAGGTTATGCCTGCAGATATACCATTATATCCGCAAGGTTACATATGAAGTAAAACAATTCTTAGAAAAATTGCTTTAATCAGCGGTTTATAAATTTGGTTTTGAAGTGTGATCTACAGTCAAAATATTGTCCATTAGAAAACAGTCTCCCCAGTATCTCATAATATACAATAATGAGACAAGCTTATGCTAACAGGTTACAAACTAAGCTATCAATGAGAACTCTAAAAAGGATCTTACTGATCAAAAATTCCTTTAAATCTTTCATTTCTATTAGGCCAGCAGTAATAATTTAGTTTTCTGTCAAAAATGAATCATCCTGGGGCACCTGGCTGGCTCAGTTGGTAGAGCATGTGACTCTTAATCTCAAGGTTGTGAGTTCGAGCCCCACACTGGGTATAGATATTACTTAAGTATAAAATCTTAAAAAAAAAAAAAAAATCATGTTCACCTTCCTCAAGACCATAAAGCAGTTAATTCAGTAGCAGCTCACAGCATTTTTACAATGATTATGTAAAGAAGCAAAATATGTTGCACTGAAGATAACAAAGGCAAACTTTATAAAATTATTGAGCTCTTCATGGACAATTCATTCCAATTTTCTAATTTCGTATGATGTACTAAGTTACAACTTAAAAAATAAGAATATTGAGGGGCAACTGGGTGGCTTGGTCTTAAGCATCTAACTCTTGACTTCAGCTCAGGGCATAAACTCGTGGTTCCTGAGTTCCAGTCCCACATCAGGTTCTGCGGTGACAGTGCAGAGGCTGCTTGGGATTCTTTCTCTGCTCCTCTCTCCACCCCTCCTCTGCTCACTCTCTCTCTCTCTCAAAAAATAAACTAAAAAATATAAATAAAAATAAGAATATTGATATATCAAATTCCAATGAAAAATTAACCTGAAATTTCCTTTACTCTAAAGACTCAGTGTAACCTCACACTCATAAGACAACTCGGGAAGTAGCATTTCTTCTTCCTGACTTTGGAGAGGCTTCAAGTCAGGATACTAAACAAAGATTTAAGTAAGCTATAAACTTACCCGAAATACACTCAGCAGGAAAGCCTTTAGAAGAAAGAATATCAGCCAAATGTTGTGCTCTATGAAAAATAACACAGAGGTTATAATTTTATAAATATGGCCCCATGCCTATCCTTTTATTTCACAAGTTCCCCAAATGACCTTTTAAGGTACATTACCTGCTGTGCAAATTAGAAAAGACTAAGGCTTGATTAAACGGAATTCTGCTGAACAGTTCCTGTAAATGCTGAGCCTTTTCCTCAAAAATCTTATGGGCCAAAGGGTATGAATTGACAACTCTGTAATACTGCTTCAAACCTGCAAAGAAGAGTCCTCTGTTAAAACAAAACATATTTGCTATATCCTAATAGCAAATATGAAAGCAACAGCCAACTAGGCAAGGGAAAGCTCCAGAGTATCACAAACAAACCAGTAATGTAAGTATCCAATATCTGTACTCACCTAGGAGACTCGGATCACTGGAATTTAGTCTTACAAAAGTGGGATCTCTCATGTACCTTGTCAAAGCATTAGCCAAATATTCAGGGTAGGTGGCTGATACGGCCAACATCTGTTTACTTGCAGGCAAGGAAGAATAAATCCAGCTGCAAAATACAAGAAAAACACACACCATGGAAACTAATCAAACAGTAACTACCACCTGTTAAAGCTAAAGATAGACACTTTAGGACACCATTTTAATAGTCCAGCAAGTTATTTTTCTTACTTTATTTGCTCCTGGAAGCTGCCTTCTTCTAAAAGCTTATCTGCTTCATCAAGAATAAAGAGACGTATACTGCCTGGGTTCAAGTAGTCAAGTTCTATTAGTTGTTTAATTCTGCCTAAAGTCCAGAAAAAAAGCATATTGAAATATTTAAGATGCACTGAATTTGTGCAAATCTCGGCCAGTGTTGTTACTCTACTCACTCACAGGTTATACTGTTGATTTTCTTGACCCGACCTTCGTTATTATACATTTATGCACCGAACCACAAATTAGAAATGTTGAATTCTATCTTGCCTAAATCCATTATTTCTTTCTCATATTTCACCACCAATAAGCACAGATCATAAACACTACTCCCATCAAAAGACTTGAATGCTAAGGCCCTGAATACTCAATTCTGATCTGAGTGATTCTTGACTGAATGATTAATAGAGAAGCAAAGAATAAATCCCAATCCATGGCTTAGAAAGCCTTCTTGAAAATCATCTCCTTTCTCCTCTTTTCATAAGCCAATTCCATAGGTGCACTTAAACAGCCTCAGGGATGGAGATTTCCTACATTCTGCTGGTAATTCCAGTCACATGTCTAAAGCCTCGCTTATAATCCTCAAAATAATTATCAGAGTTATCAAAGATTCCCATATTCTTACATCAATTATTTTATATTACCTATATTAAAAGTGTTCAGTTCCTTAAAAGCCCCAGTTATGAACAGTCATTGATATCTTACCAGGAGAGCCAACAGCAATATGGCACTTTTTAAGTCTGGTTTTGTCTTGTGATAATGGAGTCCCTCCAATAAAGACATGACACTCTAAGCCTTCCATTTTTATTCCAATAGCTGTAATAACAGAATGTATCTGTACAGCAATTTCTCTTGTAGGAGCCAAGATCAAAATCTAAAAAAGCATAAAATATATACACTTTTAATGAGTCAGTGGAACAGATACATGTGGTTGGCACATTTTGCATTATAATGAGCTAGTTTTCATTTAACCAATCATTTTAAATGATGAGTTTTTACTGACAAGGGAAACTATTCCATTCATTCACATATATATTCATTCAACAAACACTGAGTTGAATGAATTGCCTACCTACTAGGCAACATATAAGTTGCTGTGGAGTCAAGAGTTAACAATACACAGTTCTTGCCCTCAGGGCACTTTCATTCTGTGTAAGAAGACATACAATAAACAAACGGACATAAATAATGGCATACAATAAGAGTTGGGGGCGGGGGGAGAAGTGAAAAAAGAAGGGAAGGAGTTATTTTAAATGGAGCAATCAAGGAAGGCCACTAAGGAAATAACATTTGAGCAGAGACCTAAATGTACACGGCAGAGTAGAGCTTAGCTATGTGACACCTGGGGAAATGATTTTGGGAAGAGAAATAGCAAATGTAAAGGCCTCAAGACAGTAACATTCTTGGTGTACCTGAGGAATAGCAGGGAGGCCCTTGTAACCGGACCTAGTCAGGGTGAGATTTCTAGCTCCATGAAAAGGAGCTTTAGGGAGTCAAGGTGAGAACTTTGCAAAATAATTAACTACTGGAGGACAAGGTGAAACTACATGTTCTGAGCTAGGAGAAGGAAAAAACTGCTTTAAAAAAAAAAACTAGGAGAAGAAAATATGCCAAAACGGTTAACAGCAGTTTCGCTCTGGGTAGGTGAGATTATCAGATGCGGTTATCTGGTACTTCTTGACTTTTCTGAAGTTTCCCAATTTTCAAAATTAAATTTGAGAACACAAAGATCTTAAGTTTAAATATACAAATTTGGTTTATGGCACTTTTCAGGGTTTTGGCATTTCATCTACTCCCAAATTATCAGAAACCAAAATCGCAAATACATCTCAATTCAATAGGCCTCAATTCTAGGACTAGAATAGCCTAGGTCTTTGGGAAGCTGAAGGATTTCTTACGTGCATAACCCAGGATTTGGTAGATATGAGTCAAGAAGCTTTGAATACGGATATCCTGGCATACTGTTTATACATAACATGCGCTTGAAAAATCTCTGTTGAAGAAATTATTTCCAAACCTAAATCTCTTATTAGTTTGGGTTCTCTTAGACCTACTCCAAGAGAACCTAGAAGATGGGAGATCAATAGGATATACTCACAAGGCTGTAAGAACCACCTGCAGTTACCAGCAATAGCCAGAGCACTACATTATCATCAATCAGGCCAAATACTAAATCTTATCACAACCGGATCAGCAAGTAGAAGAACAAAGAAAACCTATCTGTATTCCCAAGTACTGAAAAAACTAACACACATGGCATTATTCTATTTAAGATGCGGTGATAAAAATTTCCAAATTTCTAACACTAATAACATATCCTTGGTCACCATCCACACCACCAGCACTCAAAGGCTTTAATGTCTACTTCTATGCTTTTCATATGGCTCACCTCAATCATTCGTTAAATTCACCTCTTCTCTCAGGAGCTATGGTATTGCGTCCAACCCGCGATAATAAAATCCACGTAACATACCCTCCTTTGAGTCCTCTCAGTTAGACTCACCTGGGTACTTAGGTTTTCAAGAACCAGAGAGTCCAAAGCAATGGTAGAGAACACACACGTTTTCCCGGTGCCAGATTTAGCTTGAACAATTAAATCTGAGGAGAAAAAATATATACTGTATATCGCTAACCAGTACCGACTAAAGAAGCTTAGATACCGACACGAAACCACATGATTACAAGGGTCTCCAGAAGATCACTGGTTGGCACCTTCGTTTTTAGTGAACTCTCAAAAAAGCATCGGGCCATATCCAGAAACAGGGCTCGTCCCTGAACCTCTACCGTTTATCTTCTCGAACGGAGAGCCAACTGTCACCGTGAAAAGGACCGTAACCATCAACGCCGCGTCTCTTACAGGGGAAACTGAGGCTCGAAAGCATGCAGCGCCCGGACGCAGGCCGGACCCCGCACCCGCTCCGGGACTCCTCCGGGACCCTCCCGGCCCGCGCACGGCCCCCGCCCTCACCGAGCCCGCAGCGCCCCAGCGGGATGGCCTTGAGCTGCACCGGCGAGGGTCGCTCGAAGCCGGCAGCCCGCAGCCCCTCCAGCACCGGCCGCGACAGCAGCAGCGACTCGAAGTCGGCCGGCTCGGCCAGCAGCACGTCCCCCGTGCGGGTCCGTGGGCCGCTGACGTCGTGAGCCGTCCGCAGGCTCCGCACCGGCCCGGGGGGTGGCTCCGAGGCCTCGAGCTGTGCGGCCACACGCTCCGCCGGCATAGCGGCCTCCACCGTCGCTAAGGCCGCTGAGGCTTCAAACGCCGCCGCCATCGTAGCCGCGCCGCCGGATCTCGCGGTACTTGAGGCGAGGGAGGGAGCCTAAGAGCGAGAAGAGGAAAAACTTTATTGGCAGTCCTCCCAGGAAGACACGCTTCGGCGAGGGGCGAAGGGACGGAAGTCGGAGGCTCAGGAAGTCTCGCAAGCAGCGATAACGACAAAACAATGTGGCCCGAGGAAGGCCGAAAGGAGGAGAGAGAGGCGGGGGCTACCGGTGTGCGGCCGCTGGCAGCCTGCAGAGGGCGCCGCGCGCACACAGTGGGGGCGCCGCCCCGCCTCCCGGCCCTCCGTGGGCGGTCCGCCCAGTCCCGCGCTCCGCCCCGCGCCACCCTCAGAACGCCGGCTTTGTGAGGCGCGTGCGGCGTCACTCTCCCCGCCTCCCGGTCACTGGCGGCCGGTGCCTCCGGCGGAGCCTATCCCCGCCCGCTCGAGGCGGCTGGGGCACAACCAGACTCGGCTTCCTCGTGGTCCGGTCCGTGTCTGTCTCGGCACCGCGTCACTCTTCTCTGTCGCCAGCCCGAGCACGGCCCCTGGCACACTCAGCTCCCGTACCCATCCGTTGAATTGCCGCCAGGCCCTGGACTGACACCTCTCAAAGCCACAGCCCCGCCTCAGACCGCTCTCTGAACTTAGATTTGTACATCCATCGGCCTTCTCAGCATCCCCATTGAGAAGTCTGGTAGACATCTCCCATCTTTCATGCCACCTGGGTGTTGCTCCTGTCCCCGGCTTTATGCACCACCATCTCGCGGGG